AGCATGGGCGATTTGTCATGTTACTTAGGTTTCTCCCATTTTGTCACTCTCACACGCTTAGGCTGCAGCTACTAGAATTTTTTTCTGCCTACTGCAGGCCCATTGAGCTCTGTCTCTGGACTGACTGTGTGCCTTGGGAAAACCCTAATTGGTTCCGAGCTGTACAATGCCTTGCTAGGATTTCAGGAAGGCTGAAAGGGTATTTCCTCGCTGCAGTTAGCAAAACACAGGAGATTTCTCATAACAAAACAGCATGAGCAAGAATTGGCCATCTAATTCCCTTTGTAAATAAAGAAGAATTGGATGCATCCCGTAGTGAAGCTCATTAAGGGAACAGCCTGCAAGAGCTGGAATAGAACCCTGTTGCAAAGAAAACGAGGGAGAAGAGGTTCTCTCAACCGTGCATTTGCTCTTAAACGAAGAGGGAATGGTTATTTAAACAGAGCAATTATTCTAATTAAGACTTCCTTGTCCCTAGATGGAAAGTGGACTATACCGTAAGCTGTTTCATCTGATTATCATGCAAACAAAAATAGGGGAGGAGGGAGAAAATTGCTCTTCTTTCTATATTTGTTTGTGCCTGGAAAATGAGCCGAGAGAATGTAGCTACGAGGCCTTCTGCAAGCAAACCCTTCCCATGCCGCACAGCCGTGGGCCCTTCCCAAGCATGGCTTGTGTATTTTTCCTTATAGAGCCACCAGTTGAAGGACAAGAAACTTTTTGAGTAATGAGCATTGAAAATGTAGACCAGGAATTCCCAGTAAACCTTTACGGCAGATCCGGATTAAGAGCAGATCTCCAAAGTAGCCCCCTCTGTGCTCCTAACCATCCAAGAACAAGGGCCTCTTTCACTTCCTGCCCCCGCCCCCGAAATACCTGGGCATGGCCAGGCATCCCCAAGCTGTAGACATGCTGGACTACATCTGGCTGGGGATTGTGGCCCAACGCAGCTGAAGGGCACTCTTGTAGAGCGCTGGTGAAGCCTGGGTCACAGGTTGCCACCATGGTTCAGGTCTTTACAGAGTTTTGAGCAAATCGGGTTCAGCACCATGGAGAGCTCCAACTGAAGCTGGGGCTGGAAGCCAGATGAGCTGCCTGCGCATTGCTCCAACAAGCAGCAGGTTGTAAATGAGCCTTAAGTATGGGGTTGGCTTCCTTTAGGCTGGTTGGTCACTTCTGCACAGACCGAGGACTTTCTCCTAAAGCAGCCTGGTCTGTTTTCGCAGCCTCTGGCTGAGCCGACATGGGAATGGCTGCAGCAGGCTGGATTCTTCATAGCTGGAGCCCTCAGAGACTCAGCATGGCAGGGCGACCCTTTCTGGCACACAGGAGTCAGGTCCCCAAGGTCTTCCTGGAGAACCAGGTCTTGAGGCGGCAGGACCCTCTTGATCATAGAAACAGAATCACAGAATAGTAGAGCTGGACGAGGCCAAAGGGCCATTGGCTCCAAGCCCGGCTCAGTGCAGGACACGCTTCAAACCATCGCTCTCAGATGGCTGTCCAGTTGCATCCTGAATGTCTCTAGTATGGGAGAGTCCGCCAGTTCCCTAGGTCTTTGGCACCATTGTCATACTGCTCTAACAGACAGGAAACTTTTCCTGATGCCTAGCTGGAATCTGGCTTCCTGTAACTTGAGCCTGTTATTCCCTGTCCTGCACTCGCGGATGATCGCGAAGAGATGCTGTCCTTCCTCCTTGTGGCAGCCTTTCAAGTACTTGTGCGGTGCTATCATCTCACTCCTCAGTCTTCTCTGCTGGAGGCCGGACATGCCCAGTTTCTCAGTCTCTCCTCACAGGGCTTTGTTTCCAGTCCCCGGATCATCCTTGTTGCCCTCCTCTGAATGCTTTCCAGCTTGTCTGTGTCTTTCTTAAACTATCGTGCCCAGAACTGGATGCAGAACTCCAGATGGCACCTAACCTGAGTAAAGGGGAACTGATACTTTTGCATTTGCCTTTTTTGCAGCCACATTAAATTGTTGACTCATATTCAGCTTGTGATCTACAACAATTCCAAGATCCTTCTCACTTGCGGTATTCTTGAGTCAAATATTCCCCATCTTGTAATTATGCATTTGGTTTCTTCCTAGGTGCACAGGTTGGCATTTGTCCCAACTGAATTTAATTCTGTTGTGGCTATGACCTCATACTATTCTTTTATTATTGTTGCATTTATTGCATTATTATTACGCATGGTCTTTATGCATTGATGTGAGAAACCCAAGGCAGCTCACCTAGCTACATTTTATCCTATTTTATCCTCACAACAACCCTATGAGGTAGTTTGGGCTGAGAGTCTGTGACGAGCTCAACATCACCCTCTGAGATTCATGGCCCAGTGGGGCCTCGAACCCGCATGTCCTGGGTGGCCAGTCCGACGTGCAAGCTACCGCTCGGGCTCTCTCGCAGGGCCGTTCTGTGGGTGAAAGCAGGGCCCAAGCTGTGCTGGCACCCCCGAGTCTGACCCATTGTCACAGGAAGGTCCGGGAAGAGATGCGGGCGGCGGCGGCGGCTCCCTCCACAAACGCCACTCACAACTCTGGCTCGTGCGTGCCAGTTCCACGACCTCCCAAGGATGCCTGGAAAGGGGGTTTTTGCAAATGACACCCTAAGTCTGCCTTCCTGTGCACTGAACAACACAGGTTTAATCGCACAATGGCTTGGCAGGGCTGGGGGAAGGACAGAAGGGGGAAATGCCCTCCACTGCACCTTAATTTTTAAAAATTACGTCTTGCCACTCAGTGGGCAGGACAGGTGACGGAGAGCCGCCCAAGGCCTGCATTTCTCCATGACCCCCCCCCCCCCGCACCCCAAGCGAGCCAATACAAGAGGGTCAGTGCTGCATCCTGCACTCTGCAGGCTGTTTTCCAGGCGAACCCACAAAACCCATCAGCCTCATTGTTCTTCAGGGTGCGTCTGTTCGCCAGGCCCAGGGTGGCCCTGGTCCTGATTTGGAGAGGCAGCCCTCTCTGGGAATGGCTGTCAAAGCAGCATCCTCTTTCGCAAAGTGCCCTCAGTCTGAAGGGCTGCCCAGCCTCGGCCTGGTTTAAAAATGAAGACCCATCTGGAGGAAGACCTGTGCCCATTTCATGTATGTGTATGTGTGAAATGTACATTGGCATTTTTTCCTCCTGCAAGGAAGCCAGGGTGGCTTAGGTCACCCTGCTCTCTGTTTTGTCTTCGCAATAACCCTGTGGCTTTCCCTGTCCCAGCCCAGCACACTAACTGACACTGACCACTAGACAACACTGCCCTGAAGTTACTGCCCAGACAGCAGATTGAACAGAAAGCCCAGAGTCGCTGCCTTCTCCAGCAGAGTGTGGTGTATTGTATTTCTGCTTGAATTATCATCCTCATTGCTAAATTTGCATATATGCATACAAACTAAAGTATGCAAATTTATGACTAACCCTTTTCTTGGGCTGATGCATTTCCTCTCTTTGGGAGGGAATGATAGATGGCGTTACCACGGAGCGAAGCAGACTTCCCCAAGCCAGTACTACTTTATGCAGTGTGGCATTGGCCTTGCCGTCTGGGGATGATGAGAGATGTAGCCTAACGCACCCAGATTGATGGGTGGCTTCCTGAAACATCTCTCAGGGGCAGCACTGCCAGACTCGTTGCATGGAGAGCAGGACACAATCTTTACACAGTTTTATGGTGATGTATAGCCCTGCCTTGGAAACGTACACAAACACCGTTTCCTCCTTTTCCTTCCATAGGAAAATGTGAGCAAAGATGACGTAGCCCATGCAATCCGCAGCTGCTGTCTTAGGCAAATGTTTCTCATCTTCCTAGCCTTTGTCCCAATTTTTTCACAGTAGCCTTCCCCAACTTGGCATCCTCTAGAGGCATTAGACTACAATTCCCATCATCCCAGCCAACAAATCTGGAGGGGTCCATAGTGTTGTATGGTGGAGGAAGGTTGTTGTGCAATGACTATTTTTCCGACAAGAGGCACCCCGTGTGTTTCTGGCTCCGGTCGTTTCCGCGGTGGTTTTGGGAGAATGTCGTGATGGAACTTCAGCGGAAGCCTGCCGGGCTGCCAGGGGCTGCATGAAAGAGACTCTGTTTCCGCAGCTCTGCTTCTAGCCCTCCGTGCGTTTCATCCTTGCTCCTGGCATCCCTGCAGAAACCAACCCAGGTCATAGCTGTACTGGAAGTGACGATGCTCCGCTCCGTGCGCACGTGGTGTTCCTACGGATGTGCAGGTCTCCCCATTCACTTCTCCAGGGAGGACCGTCCGCCTGCCTAAAAAGAGGCACAGAGCCATCCCGCTGCTAAGAGGAGAATTTCTTACTGTCACGCAACATTTATCCAAAGCAGAGTAGCAGAAGCTTTGACTTGGAGCATGCTGTTAGTCTTGAAGTAGTGCCCGACCCATCGCGACCCCGTGGACAACACTCTTCCAGGCCTTCCTGTCTTCCACTATCCCCTGGAGTCCACCCAAGCCCACACCCATTGCCCCAGTGGCTCCATCCAGCCACCTCGTCCTCTGCCGTCCCCTTCTTCTTTTGCCATCTATTGCTCCCTGCATTAGGGGCTTCTCCAGGGAGTCCTTCCTTCTCATTAGGTGGCCAAAGCATTTGAGTTTCATCTTCAGGATCTGGCCTTCTAAAGAGCAGTCAGGGTTGATCTCCTCTAGGACTGACTGGTTTGATCGCCTTGCAGCCCAAGGGACTCGCAGGAGTCTCCGCCAGCTCAATTCCTAGGCCTCAATCCTTCAGCGCTCAGCCTTCCTTACGGTCCAGCTTTCACAGCCATACATTGCAACTGGGAAACCATAGCCTTGACGATGCGCACTTTTGTCGGCAGGGTGAGGTCTCTGCTTTTTAGTATGCTGTCTAGAGATTTGGAGCATAGTGGTGCCAATATTCAGACCAGCCTTCCCTGAGGTGGTCCCCTCCAGATATATTGAACTACAAATCCCAGCATCCCCCAGCCAGCTGTGAGAGCATCACATTCCTTCTTGTTAACCTCTCTCCCCACATCCTTGTTTTGCAGTTCATGACGAAGAACCCGAAAATGCGCCTAGGCAGTAGTTCCATGGGTGGGGAGCGAGCTATCCTTCTGCACCCGTATTTTAAGGACCTGGATTGGGACCTGCTAAACCAGCGCCAGATCGAGCCACCCTTCCACCCTCGAATTGTAAGTGTTTGGAACGTGCGTGTGTGCCTGTGAAGGGACCAGCTCGGTGGTGGGGCCCATGCCTTGCCTCTAAGAAGCCACAGGTGAAACGGTGGAAGGGTTCACCCCTAATGAAGCTCTGTTTGCAGGATCGCATCCCCTTTTCTTCCTAAGGGCCAGCCCACGTCCTCTTTTACTCCTCCCATGAAGTGGAAGGAGCTGCTGAGTCTTGAAGGGGTGGCTGAGGGCTGCACGAACCGTGGAGGAGATGAGCTGCAGGTTGCCCACCCTGGGGGTAGACGGTGCATTTGAGGTGACTTTAAATGGGCAAGGGGCAGCTCAGAGAGGAGCCAGGAGCTGGCTCCCCGTCCATCCAAAAGTGCTGCTGTGCTTCCAGGAACCTTTTGGGGGAGGAAAGAGGGAGGGGGAGAGCCTGTGACGGAGGTTCTCCAGGCAGGCAGGTGAAAGGTGAGCTTGCAGGGGAGAAGAAGGCTGCAGGGAAGGTCGCCAACAGTGAGGATGGAGGGAAGCCGTCGGCAACCCAAGACCAAGCTCCTCCTCAAGTCTGGCCCTGCCTGGAGGTAAACTTAGCCTGAGTTCAGAGAACTCCCCAAGCCATGGTGGTTTTTTGACATTGTTGGTCTGCTCTGTTGTCTGTACCCAGTCATGGTATTTCACCATGGTAAGTCTGGTCTTTAGAAACCACAGCTTGCTCTGTGGCTTCTGTGTACCACCATGGCTTGTCATGTTGTTTGAACCCCGGTTTGTGACTCCCACAGTCCTGTGATGCAGCTGCCCCAGAATCCTCTGGAAGGAGCGGCACTGCAGGAGTGTGGGCCAGTGAGGAAGAGACAGGTGGGATAACGGCGGAAGACGATGCACCTCGGGACTGAATTTCAAGGGCGATGCTAATGGGATGTGGGATAATAGTGGGAGGATTTCGTGAGTCAGATGGAGATCACAATAAAGTGGAAACCACTCGATTGTCTGTCAGGGAGACCCTGGCAAAAGATCAAGAGCCATGGGAGCCATGCAGGGTTGCTTGTCATTTGTGAACACAGCCTTAGTTGGGATCTGACTCCGTTTCCACAAGATTCCATGTCCATGCCTAGGAAACATGTTTTCAATGTTAGCCAATGCAGTAGAAATTTGGAAACAGCAAAGGAGCAGAGGAACCATTTTTTTTCTGTTTGCATTTCGCAGAAATCAAACGAGGATGTGAGCAACTTTGATCCTGAATTTTTAAAGGAGGAACCTATCCTAACCCCCATCGAAGATGGAATTCTTGCTATGATCAACCAAGAAGAATTTAGAAACTTTTCTTATACAGACCCAGAATTAGAGTCTTAGCCGCACCTGAGGGTGCTGACCGTCTCCTCAGCCTGTTGAGGAAGACCTGTTGCTTCGGACTGCCTGTTTCGCTGGGAGATCCTGCAAGGAGTGTTGGATTACGCATTGCAGCCAAGAGGAGCACAGCTTGCGGGATCCTGATGCGGCAGGAGCACCTCTCGGATTGCTTGAAGAACAAGCGTTGGTAGCCAAGCAGTGAATTTCCTCTGTGTGGAACGGGTAGGTGCGGAAAGGAGAGTTCGCTTGGCTCCAGGTGGCTGCTGGAAGTGAAACTTTGCTGTGACATCTGGGTCATTTTCACGAGAATGACATCAGCTGTGAGCCAACTGGATCTTTATACAGCACTGCTACCTGGCAAAACAGAAACAGGAGAACATGAGGGGCACAGGACTCACCTGTGGCAGCAGCATGGCCAAAATTGCTTCTTCCCTCCGGGCAACGGGGTCCATTGGAAACATGTTCGAAACCAGGTGTCTGTGTGCCAACTGACAGAAACCCGAAACTGGAAAAACCAGCCAAGGGAAGTGACCCTTTGATGCGGATGCTTTGGAATGCCAAGACTCCAGTCCCATTGGATGCAGCTCAGCAGATCGAAGGGGACCAACTGCGTGCGTCGCTGTTAGATCAGCCGCTCACACATGTCGGCGAGCACGTGTGTGTAGGGTGGCCACATGCAAATCGCCGAAAAGGAGGATGTTGGTTGCATGGCACGTCTGTTTGTCCGTTAGTCATTATTATTTAAATAGAAATTGAGTACACCCCCCCTTGGTGTGGGAAACTGACCTGCTGCCCAGAGCGCCTTTCTCCATCCACTGTCCAGGTGCTGTTGATGGGCATTCCTGAGGTTTAGGGCTTCCGTCGGATGGTCCTTGACTTGGGATTTGGACTGGGCAGCCCTTCAAACACGACACGTTCAGAACAGAGACAGTCCTCTGGCAGCTCTTCTAATAGAGGACTGCCCTCTGTGAAAGAGGATGCATGGCCTTCATCGGTGCATATGCGTGTGCATGTGCATATGAGTGAAAGAAGGAGAGGGTTTTCCTTGCTGAATTGGGATGAAAGTTGCTAGAACAGAGCCGGTCCACCCTGCTACCTCTGGGTGATGTGAAGAGGGAAATGTTTTCTCTTGTGTTTTGTGAAATGCCAAGATAATTTGGGGCTCATTTAAGTTTGTGTGTTTGTTTTTGCATCCTCAATGCTCCTTTCCTTTTATAAAACAGAATGTGCCAAACAGGATCTTCCTTAGATCTCAAAGCAGATCTAATTTTGATTTCCTTTCCAAAACCAGTGCAGTACTTTGGGCTCTAAGTACTCTTGTTTTTTCTTTTTTTTAAAAGCAAACTCAAAATAGTAGCTCTTAAATTATTTCAGCACAGATACTGAAGGGTGCAGCCAGCTATAGGTCAAGTCACAATTACCCACCAAGAACCAGTTCAGCATTTGTGCCCCATGACTTGGGCATATCATTTATCTGGCTACCAATTTACAGTTCGGGGCCACATCTTACAACCACACAGTGATGTTTCAGGCATGGGTTCCTTTATTTCTGTCAGGTCAGAGTGAGTACACGGTAGGGAACACACACGCATCTATGGGGACTACTAAGTTCTTTTCTTGGCTAGCAGTTTTGCACAGCTGGCTCTTCAGTGCCAAACAACCTGTTCGTCTTGTTTTCAGCCAGTCTATGGCTTCTCCTTCATCATCATTTTATTTATGTGCTGCGTTTTTAAATTCTGCTCAAGGCAGGCTGCAGCAACAATGAACAAATCAATATCTAGGCACTCCAAAGGCACAGAAGCAACTATAGGAAATGCATTTCAAGCTACATTAGCAAGCTATAAATATTATAGTGCAAGTTTCCCTAAACAATGTTCCTTTCATAAATTAGAGCAATCATACATCCAAAACCCCCTTTTAATCATTAATCCACTGAGATATCAAGGTGACCAGTTACACTCCAAGTTTATCAAAAGTGGTATTGCAAACAGGCAGCTGAAAACAGGTGCAAAATCTCAAGTTAGAAACTCTACCAAATATCCCATAACATTCCCTAAGTGCTGCCACTTGCAAGTTGCAAACAATAAAAATAAAAAAGAGGAAATGCATAATTGAAGGGGAGGACAAAAGAGTAGGGTGACTGGCAGTACATTTCCAGATCCTGCCTTATCTTGCAAACTAAGCAGGGTTGGGCCTGGTTGAAAGCTGGATGGGTGACTCAAAATGTTATGGCTCCTATAAAAATGTAACAACAACAACAACAACCTAGATCATATGGATAGGGACAAAATTAGAAGGAAAAGGGAAGAGATGGTCAGGATAGGAGAAAAGGTGGCTTGTCTTGTTTTAATCCTGTGAAGGAGTAGCAACGGGGACCCTGCCCCACCGGCTCTGCTTCTAAGGAAGCATGGAGGTAGGAAGGCAGCGTTGCAGAGAGACGGGCCCCATGGAGGGCGTCTTGCCCAAGCAGTCCCTGAAATCTGGACGGGAAGTGAAAGCTACTCAGGTCAAATGCTTTCCCCTGGGACAAGAGCAAGCAGAATTTCCAAGAAAACCGAGAAGTGTTTCTCTTCTTCTCAAAGGAGAAGATCTTTTCAGCTGTGTGATTCCCTGCAGACTTTTAAGTGGGACCAGCCCAGGATGGCTTTACTCGGCCCTCTGCTGCTTCCACAAGCCGCACTGTACATGGGTGCCACGCCTTTTAAGCTCCGGCTTGGAAACGCAGGAGCAGGGCTGCCAAAGGTGGACTTGGAAGTTGCGAAAAGGTTAATTTACAAAACTGGAGAGTTCACCTCTTCCTCTCCCTTTCTCCAGCCCAGCCTCTGTCGTGCAAATTTTCCCTCTTTCTTGAATCATGTTCTGGCTGATGCGGTAGGAATGCTGCCCGGGCATGTTCACACGCTCCAGCCCTGTTGTCCATTGCTAAGTGCTTTCAGGCTGACCAAACGCAACATCCATTAGAACCCCCAACATCCACCTTTGAATAAAATGACGGCTACCCAGACTCCTTACGGTCTCATAAGTGTTATCCGTCAAATTCCTCGGAGAGTTTTTGGCAACCCAGAAAAAACAGCAAGTGTGGGCCTTCTGGTATCTCGCCATCAATATTGCAACACCGCTTCTCACCAGGGGGAATCGCATGGCTGCTGCCCGACACACCCTGTGGTTTGAGGGAAGGAGAGAACAGTAAACGTTGAGTCAGCATTGCAGCGAAGGATGACTCAGTGTTTTTACCCCACTTCCAGGCTGTGAGCTTATCTGTGATTGACTGAATTAAATCTTTGAGTCTTCCCCTCTGTGCTCACCAGCACTGTTGAAACGTTGTGTTTCCGCTCATCAGAATGCTTGGCCTGCCTGCAGTGTATCTTACCACCGGCATGTTAGCTCATGTTCTGTTCACATCTCTGCAAATTACCCGGCAAGGTCTCCAGGGCCCAGGAGATGTGGTTGAACTAGCTAGCTCCATGCCATTTACACCCCCAGATATTTCAAAGCCTAGCCCCCATAATCCCTAACTATCCCCTAGTCTGCTGGGGCTGATGAGAGCTGTAGTCCAAAACATCCAAAGGGTGGCAAATTATTTATGCATTCATTCTGGACTTCCCACAGACACAGTTGGCCACGTTGAGCAGAGAGTGCCAGCCCGGCGAGATCTTTCCTCCAATCCACCGTCGCTCTCACTATGAGTTGTGTTCTGGAGTTTATTCCCTGCTGGTGTCTGCATGGAGAAAAATACGGTAGCCAGCTCTGGATCCAGGTGGCCCTCTTCTCTAAAGAGGCTCATGAGACGCGTTGCAGCTGAGCCAAGGCTGTGCAAAGTTTTCTAGGGAGCAGGACTTCCTTCATCCTGGTAACGGTGTTCCTGGTGCAGTCCAGAGCGGGTCCCCGGCTGTGTGCCAAAGCCAAGGAGCACAGCCTGTTCCCTGTTGCCGCCACTGCCACCTATTTCAGCCATATCATTTCTAGAGGGCAAAGAACAAACAATCTTGGCACCATGCATTTCTTCCTTGCGTGCAGGATCAAAATAATAGGCATTTACCATACTCGGAGGGAACACTGTGAGATTATAATGTGGCTGAAACCTGAGCACTGTCAGTGAAGATCTAGTATTGTGACTTTTAATGCTTACAAACCCATGGCCCACCTTTAAATCCAAGCTGCAAAGAGGAATTACGTCATATTCTTTGGGTGTCTGGATTGTTTTTTTGTTATCATTCTTTTTGCTACTACATTTGATTTATATGCAACCTTTTGAGGAACCCAAGGTGGTTTGCGTAGCTCCATTTTATTCTTGCAACAACCCTGTGAAGTAGAGGAGGCTGAGAGGAAGTGACAGGCCCAATTCACCCGTGAATTTCATGAGGAGTAGAACCCAAATCTAGATCCCCAGTCCAATGCTGTAACCATAACACCACAGTGGCTCTACCTCGTTCAGCCCCAACATGAAAGGAAATGTTGGGGGAAAGGGGGTACTCCATGCAGGGAAGGGTTGTTAACCCTTTCCTATCCAGCTACAATCCCTCTTGTCATTTAAGCTAAGCCATTTTTTTTTAAAGAGGGAGAACTGTCAGCACTAATGTGTGTAGTTTTTTTAGTGGGTGGGCAGTGATCAGACATTCTCTACTTCAAGGTCATAGCTGTGTCTGCAGCCCCAAAAAGAAAATCTGTTGTATCCTCAAAGAAAATAAAAAGAAGTTGAAAAGTTGAAACTGAAACTCATGTTACAGGTTCAGCTTAAAAGGTGAGTCCCAGGTCCAAAAAGCCTGAGGGCTCGTGGCATGAAGCTGTGAGAATGCATCAGGTTATTTGTGGCAGCGCAAGGGCAGCGGGCACAGCGGTGGAATGACATTAAAATGCACAAGTAATTTATGCTTAATGAGCACATTAAGCTATCATTGCACAGGCTAAGCACTTTCTAGCCGTGATTTCTATCCATGATCTTGATTGATGCCAAGAAAATGTTCCCTAGCACACTTTTCACCCACTAGTAGTTACGTATAACGAGATAGGAAGTTAATCTACCTTCCTTAGTGGTTGAATTAGAGGGATCTAACAACGAATTAGAAGGATCTTATAACCACACGTCACTTCTGACCTCTTACTGCACTAAGTGCTGTTTATGCAGGTCATCCTATATACAGGCCCAAATAAGCGGGTCACTCCATAGTCTTGCATCTTCCAGATTAATCCATTTCATCTTTGGGATCAATTCCAACCCAGCACCAAAGCCAGAAAGGTGAAAGAATATAGACATCTGAATGCAGGTCCTTGATAGCTGTGCTCTGCACAATGTCCTCCAAGCCTTCAAACAAGAGGTAACATGTGGAATACAAAAGTTTTGCATCTGGCATTCTACTTGTGATGTTTTCTCATCTGCAAGTTGCCACTCAGTTCCCAGGTATTGTATGTGTGAACCAGAGTTTTAAAAACCGACTGTGTTTGTACCTATTTGAGATTTGCCAAATTTTCTCAAATCTGGAGTTGACTTGAAGGTCAGATATGTTCACGTTTCACTATTGAAGTTCAACTTGTAGGGGGCTTTGAAACAAACAAACAAAATGACTCAGTGAAAGTTCTGCACACTAATTTCAATCAGGAGAAATTTCCTGACAGTTTTTGTCAATGCAAATTCATTTCAACGTTCCGGTAACATCAACGCAAACAGCTCTTTAATGAGGCAGTTACTGCCTCACAAGCAAGCCCAGACTTAGACTTCGATTTGGCCTCTAAGGGCACATGAGTAGACAGAAAAAGGCCCAAAAACTCCCAGAATGGGTGGCTGGGGACAGCTGAGAGCTGGAGGACTTTTCTGCCTAAACAAATTGACGCATCTGAAACATAGTGCTTTGCGAGTATGCTGGACCCACGGAAAGACAAGCAAATGGGTGCAAGGTCAAATCAAGCCGGAGCTTTCCTAGAAGCAGAAATGGCAAAACTGAGCTGTCATCATGAGATGAGAAGACTCCCTGGAGAAGACCATCATGGGAGGAGAAGTTGCAGGTGGAAGAAGAAGGGGGGGATCAAATATGAGATGGATTTGCAAGAACTGGAATTTGGAAGGACGGAGCGTTTTGGAGTAGGGCATTTTGGAAGGCCTTCATTCATAGGATTGTCACAAGTCGGGGACTTGACAACACAACAACCCCAAACATACTTACGTAGGACAGTCTC